AAAAAAAATTGCGTATAATTACAAATGCCAATACCGTCGTTTAATTTTTCAATTAAAGACTAGAAAATGACGGGAATTGTGTCCATTAGAAAATTGAGATCGGAAGCATTTTTAGAATCTTTTAAGTGTGTTTGTCTTATCTTATTCTAAGAAAAATACACTTTTAAACGTGATATTCCATTGCGACGCGGCGACACACCTATGCTTCATGTTTCAAACATCTATAAATTAAAATCTAATAAACATTACTGAAGTAAATTTAAATTTCAATGTTAATTCCATTTATTTTTGTGCCTCTTTTGGTATATTTTATTTTTAACAAAAATAAATGAAAATATACATTATTATAGTGCCTGGTTTAACTCTTAAAGTACACGAAAATCCAGGAACTTTTCCCGGGGGCTTTGACCCTTGGCCCCCACCAGGACTTTGCCTTGGACCAACTGGGGGCCTTAAGGCTGCCCCAACCCCTTGCTTCAAAAAATTATCTACGCCCCAACCATAAATCCTGTATCCGCCCATGCAAATATGTGCATTTTTCAATGTATGTGGTAACTATTTCATTGGTACTTGCCTAGTGATCTTCTTATTGCCTGGCACGTATATTTCTTCATCACAACTTTATTATCCAACTAAAGTCTGAACAATCATTTAATAGTTTAACTATTGGCAATGTTAAATACTTCACATGTTTGATTAAAACCTATCACAATATCCAAACAAGACAGTATTTACTCCTCAAATTCGTTTTCAGCTGTGTACTTCCACTTTCATTTTCATTGATTTAAGCAAAAGATTTCCGAAAGGGGAAAAAACTCTTGACAAAAATGTTTGTAAATTTAGAGATTTTCACAAACTTAACAATCAATTTATTTTCTTAAAGTAAATAATAGTAGTTTTTTCATATGTTCTTCATAAATGTTCAAGGTGAAATTCAGAGCATTAGAATATACCACCAGTGCCTGCGTTTTTTGTGTACATCGTTATGTTCAACACCCCTTTTCTAAAGCATTTTTATGCTATTTGGCATTTAACGGCAGGTCCTCAATTTTTTCCACAACTTTTTTTCAGCAAATACAAATAACAAATCATTTCAAACGTAGCATTGTTAGGGTTTGAAAAAGGTGGCCTAGTTTATAGCGAGCGCAGCGAGCTCAATAGACTAACGTGTATGAACAGAGGAAATTCGGATTGAAATCTGTACATACGTCAGCCAAATTTCTCTGTTCCACATTCCCAGAATTCCTGCACTACCCAATGTCCTTTGCGCGAATAAATCAAAAATAGTAAAAAAATTAAAGGAACATTGTTTCTTACCGAAATCTTAACGAAATGATTTTGCCCTACCTTATTCAAAAAAATACCCCCATGCCACAACACCGGCCTTCACCTTGCCCCTCGGAAAAGATACAAATGACGTCTTCGGAAACTTACGAATTTTGACGAAGTTATGTCGGCTGCTTCCGTGAAACTCGGATAAAACAGAGCAAAAACTTACATGAAAAGAACGATTTAATGCAATCTCTTTTCCATAAAACTAGCGTTTGCGTTCTAAGTCAACAGAACTTTTTATCTCATTCTGACGTAAGACTTTCGTCACTTCTACGGTTCGGGTATTTCCGATTTTGTCGGAAACTTCCGAGAATTTTCGAATCTCGATCCCGATGCTTGGGAAATGATTTCTTTTTGTTGTTTTGTTTTATTCTTTTTGCTTTTTTTTCCTGAATGATAGACAGTACATGTGTAGGTTTATGATAGTAAATAAACTGCGCTCGCCCCAACGGTCACACCGTAAAACATATTACGGGAAAAGTTTACTGTTAAGTCACATAAAATATTACTTTTATGTATTTCTCATAATACCTGAAAATGAAATGATTTGCAATTTTTAATGTATTAGCATAATAAACAACAATAAAACTTGTCAATGCATTAAAAAACTGTCTAGTTATATCCAATATAGCTGGTTATAAACAAAGCACTGATATCGATAAACATGGCGTCATTTTGGTAAAAATGACGTATTTCATGTGCTGTGAAAGGCAGATTGAGGAATTTTTTAACAATGAAAAAAAAAAAAACGTTTTATTATTAAAAGGAATATTGTTTACAGGTCTCAAATAGTCGATTAATACCAATTTATATCCTTTGTTTAGTGCAATTATTCATTAACTATCAAGAGAATGTATTTTATTAATTATGTCGTGTTTTTATCTATAGGTTACGTACATTTAAAATGAGATGCCTCATGAAATCGTATTTTTTGCAAGTGCATACGCTTAATAGCGAGCGCAGCGAGCTCAATAGACTAACGTGTACGAACGGAGGAAATTCGGTTTGAAATCTGCACATTGTTCAAAGAAATTTTCATCTCACCGCGTGAAAAAATTCCAAACTCCCAGTAATCCTTTGCGGTGCATAGCAACCTGAAGGCTAAAACATAGCAACAACTTACTTGAAATAATTACAAACAACGTTTTCATGCAATATCCTTGCCACAAAAATATCGTTTGTGTTATATGTCTTCATGACTTTTTATTTGACGTCATTCTTTCGTCATTTAATCGACTCGGGTATTTCCGATTTTGTCGGAAACTTCCGGAAAGTTCGGAATCTCGATCCCGATTCTTTTGGAAATAAAATAAAGTTGTGTAAAGTTTTTGATAGTAAATAACTGCGCTCGCCCCAACGGTCGCACCGTAGAACATAATATGTTTTACGGTGTGACCGTTGGGGCGAGCGCAGTTTATTTACTATCATAAACCTACACATGTACTGTCTATCATTCAGGAAAAAAAAGCAAAAAGAATAAAACAAAACAACAAAAAGAAATCATTTCCCAAGCATCGGGATCGAGATTCGAAAATTCTCGGAAGTTTCCGACAAAATCGGAAATACCCGAACCGTAGAAGTGACGAAAGTCTTACGTCAGAATGAGATAAAAAGTTCTGTTGACTTAGAACGCAAACGCTAGTTTTATGGAAAAGAGATTGCATTAAATCGTTCTTTTCATGTAAGTTTTTGCTCTGTTTTATCCGAGTTTCACGGAAGCAGCCGACATAACTTCGTCAAAATTCGTAAGTTTCCGAAGACGTCATTTGTATCTTTTCCGAGGGGCAAGGTGAAGGCCGGTGTTGTGGCATGGGGGTATTTTTTTGAATAAGGTAGGGCAAAATCATTTCGTTAAGATTTCGGTAAGAAACAATGTTCCTTTAATTTTTTTACTATTTTTGATTTATTCGCGCAAAGGACATTGGGTAGTGCAGGAATTCTGGGAATGTGGAACAGAGAAATTTGGCTGACGTATGTACAGATTTCAATCCGAATTTCCTCTGTTCATACACGTTAGTCTATTGAGCTCGCTGCGCTCGCTATTATATCTTAACCATTTTTCGAATATAGATAAAGGATATTTTTCTTAACTTGAAAAGTGCTGCTGCTTTCCTTAAATCGAGGGCGTGAATATATAAATACACAAAATATTTCGTAAAAGTCAAACATATTCGACATTGGCTTATTTACCTGAAAAAATCACTATTAAAGCGTAATTTCTATTCAAAGCAGTATAACTTTCCAGAAATGACAAAGTATGCAGAAACGATTAATAGCTTGAATCTTTAATTTCAACTAAGGTATGCCCTTGCGATATTGAAATTTGTTCATGACGTACATTCAGTATACGAACTAAGCATTCATCACGCAGCTGTCCATCGATGGGACCAAACTTATACAGTATAGAGTGGGTTATACTATGCTATTTCCATAAGTATTTAAGTTCTGTGATTATCAAACAGCGTAATTAAAATGAATTCAGTATTTAAAGAATCCCTCTTTTTTGTACGTCTGTTTTCTGTTGATGTCTCATAGTAGGCCTTAACGGTGCTGCGAAGGAAAAAAACTAATAAAAATCACATTTATTTCATTAAGGTCAGACGACACGTTCCTCAAATATATGTTTGGTATCTCTTAGTATTATACCAAACATTATTCATATTTGCCATTCTCGTCTGACTTCTACATTGTTTTTCAAATGTTTTTAAATATAAGAACACCAAAAATTGTGTTATATGCCATTTAGTAGATTACCCGTAAGGGTTATATAAGAAATATGACCCTATATTATCTTGGCCTAATGCCTGGTAAGGTACCCTAATTTTTTGTAAGGAAACTTGTTTAAGTACCTATAATTCAATGACAAATTCTTAGGAAAAATTATATATTTTTGAGGAACGTGTCGTCTGACCTTAAATGAATATTAATGGGAAGAAATATCATTAAAGGTATTTACCACCTATGTGCATAAACAGATAACCTGGTTGTCATCGAAACAAGACCAATTGATCACTTTAAATAATATTTTTGTTAATAGGGCTTAGAATTAATTCAGAAAAATTTCTGAAAATCAATTTCCAACCATTTTAATGCTTACAGAGAATGATTCTTAAAATATGTTAAAATTGCATTCCAAAGAAATACTTTTCGATTTTTTCTTTTCTTTTTTTTAAATTTTCTATTTATTAATTTATTTATTTTTTGCAAATTCGCCTTTGCTCCCCTCCAATCTGAAGTTTTTCTTTCTTTTAAAAGGAGCGGATTGCGGGGAAAAGGATAACGTCACCAAAAATAAACAAATGTAATGCTACTATTACGTCACAGACAGCCCAAGGGTCAAAGAGTTGAAGGCCAGAAATTATTAAGGGAACAAGTAATTATAACAGAGAAGCTATTTTTTACCTTGGCCCTTGATCTAGAAACTTCACCTAGCGTCACTGGACATCTATTGACCAGTGGTATGAACAAGATTAGACCAAGAAGAAAGACGTATACTCCGATCCGGACAACAGAGGTCGGACGCACAGATGGACAGACGTCAAACTGATTATGATAGGGCACCCAAAAATGCTATAGCGAAATATTAATCATTTTATAATATTATTTTTGAAGTATAAACGCATCCGTGCCCCATTAGATGGCATTTCCTATACTGAAAAAGAAAATACCGTCTGTTCCTTACCAGAAAAGGATGTTCCCCACACAATGTAATCATCAACAGTATGATCTACAAAATAATTAAACCAGTATTTAGAAAGCAAAATAGAAATTTATGATTACTCTGTTTCAATTTCAAGTTTTAAGGGATAGCAATCTCGAGTAAGGCGCAGGTATTTGCTGAATTTTTAATAATCGTGCACTATAATTTCCTTTCAATTTTTTAAAAGTAGAAATGTTCGTCCGGGATTTTCTTTGGTCGTTTATCATTGTCAGTTTTTTATGACTGTACATTGAATAGGGTTACTTCCGAAACAACGACATTAGAGAGGTTGAGATTTCAAACGTGTACGTGTACGGGTACGTCTAGTGGGGGAATAACCTAAATTCTCTGTGTATTACGTCATCAATTTAAGTGACGTCAAAATTGCTACACGTTCGTAAAACTTGTAGAATGGAATCTACACGTAAGTGAAAATGTGTAGCTTTAATAACAATAATTAGCCAATTTAAGTGTGAAAATGTGATTGATATACATTATATATGATATGTACTTTCACGAGCACTTATTTTTATCAACTGTTCCAGTTTAAAAATAATACAAATATTTGGGGGGGGGATCATGCAATTAAGGTAGGACCAAATAGATAGGTCATTTTTTCCTCAAATTCAATTTTTCTGAAACTTTGATATTTTGTTCTTGGATACAAAATCTCTCTTAATATATGATATGAGAGAAATTACACCGTGCATTTTTTTCCCACTTAGTCTGAAATATGGCCTATCAGACCCTTGTAAGAAGATTGCGGGATCAGACATTCGACTTGAGAATGAGCCTTATTTTAGAATTTTCAATTGATCTATTGCAAATGTGTGTAATACTCTCAATAAAGATAACATTTTCGTTACTTTAAATCATTAAGTCACATTGATACTGGAAAATTTGGGTAAAATATTAGGTAAAATAGAATATATATTGTATCAGAAACTGAAAATTCACATGTAAATATTCGACATTTTAAGTTTTCTTAAAAGAAACTGTATCATTCAATTTTTACAAAAAATGAACAGAATGATTCAAATGCGTCATAGAATAAAATGTGTAAAAATAAAGAAAATTGAACTGGTGATTTAAGATATTTTGGCTATTAAGAAAAATGCTATGGCCAAAAAAATAAAAGATTCAGTAGATGACGTCACAATATTTGACATTTGATCTCGTGATATGACCTTGACCTTTGTAGTACATGAAGAATATAGACTCCTTATTCATGTGTCCAAATATTACCCCTCTACTATTTATGGAACAAAAGTTGCATTGCATTTTATAACACACTGTTACATGCTTGTTTATTGCACTTAGATAGCGTAAACCCATTCAAAAATGTAAGCTCCCAAGTGACCAATATATAGAATTCTCTGATTTTTTCACAAAATATAAGGAAAATATGCCAAAACTTATTATTTTTCTTTTAGGGATCATTCATTGTTGTCAATATAGTAATATTCTTTTTTTTCCTCCAGTAATTTTTAAGAAACGGGTTAAAATAGAATCCACGGGTGTTTTGTCCTACCTTAATAGAGTTTTTAATGTAACAGTGTCCCTTATTTAGTCTCTTAGAAGATTTAATAAATTATTGTATATGAGAAAATATTTTATAATTTGTTTGATACGGATATTGGCATTTTCCTCTTTGCAGAGTGTGAAGTTCAGAAACAACATCAATATCATTTAATTTTTTACCAGTAAGTTTCTTTCAACATTATATGATGGGCAGTTGATAAAAATAATGTTCAGTGTCTTCAGTATGAAATTCACACTTTTGACAAGGTGGAATATCTTATAAAACATGATTTTTAAATGATCATTAAGATTACTAGCATTGTTTCGCAACTGACAATGCAAGATATTTTCTTTTCTATTACCAAAGTTAAAGTACCGATAAGGTTATTAGTTATTCCCCAAATTATAAGCTTTGCTTTAAAGATAGGCAACGAAGGGGAGTTTTTTACTTCTTCACTAAGACTGTTCCAAAGTTTTATGATTGAGGGAATAAAACTTTAATAGTACGACATTGTTTTACAGACTGTTATACATAAGTTATTACATCCAGGCCTTAGGTTATATGCATGTTGAACAGGAAACAAGGTTGGATCAAAATATACAAATAATCAGGTGCAGAACCATTAATAATTTTATACATCAATTGAAGTTTGTGTTTTTCTCTTCCAAAATATATAATGGTTTCCACCCTAGTACATCATACAAACAAGTTCCGGATGACTTAATTTTAAACCCAGTATTAATTCTGGCAGCTTATTTCTGAACTTTTTCAAAAAATTCTTAACTACTTTGGGTACAATTATTCCATACACCATCAGCATATTATAAAATTGGTCTTATAAAGGCAAACTATTTTTTTATTTTTGAGTTTCTAGCTATACTATGTTTCAGTTACCTATTTGTATTCTAAATTATATATGCATGCCTTTTCATATCTATTAAATATATGATTATTCCAAGAACAATCTGCTTGAAATTGTTATCCTATACAAACATTACTATTTGATTGTTTTATATAATCACCTCCATAAATAAACTGAATATAAGAATAACTTATGTGTTTTCTAGTAAAGTCAGCATTCAACATTTTTTTCACTATTAAAATCTATGGCCCAAGCTTTGGACCAATTTCTTATCTTTTCAAAATCTTGAGTAAGGGACATTGTTGGAGTATTGATATCATTGTCTATAATAGCAAACAAAGGAGTATCATCAGCAAACAGTAGAATATTACAAGATATATCTTCAGCTATTTCATTTAAATATAACTAAAACAAGAAGGGACCAATTACATACCCCTGAGGTGCCCCCAGCATCTATGGTTTTATATGCTAATGAAATGCTTACCAAATCAAACCTAAGGTCAAAATGGATATTTTTCTGCTGAGTAACAAACCATTTCAATACCGAAAGTCTTTTAGAGCCCTTAATTGTTTTAAAATAAATTACGATTTTGAATAAATAAGACATTGAAGGCCAATTGACGACACCTTTTTCATTAACAAACTTCCGTCGTTGAAAAATAAAATGTCCAGATTACAGTATCTCACTTCCGTATTTTCCTTTCACACCAAGTCAACTGATAACTGAATGTTTGTGTGAAACTTGTAATAAACTGTAACTTTGTTGAAATGCTAATGCTAGTGTAAACTAAGCTTATATATGCTTACTCTTGGTGACAATAATATATACTTTAGAATAGTCCGAAGTATTTTACGTTTTCCTGGCGTTTTTACGATTTTGATATTTTAAAACGTGAGAACCGGCGCCATTACGAAAACTGGAAATTTCGCTGTCTTCAACTGGAGTTGATTTTTAATACTTGTGAACCGACTTAAATGCTGAAATAAGAATTTATCAAAAGCACAATGCCTCTAGTACTCACCAATATCGATGAAAAGAAAATATCACTCCACATTTCGTAACAGGACATGCAAGATTTTAAAATGCACGAAATGAAGACAAATCTTGATAGTGTATGTGATAAAACCTTTTTCAACGGATTATTTGTTTCATAAAGGAACCATTAAAACTATATTGGTAAGTTCTTTAAGTACTGTACTATTGATAACTTTTGACTTATTTAATTTAATTCAGTTCGCAAGTATCTAAAATCAACTCGATTTCCCAGTTTTCGTAATGGCGCCGGTTCTGACGTTTTCCTGGCATGTAAAATATCAAAATCGTAAAACGCCAAGAAAACGTCAGATTTTTCGGACTAATTTTAGAACTGTACTTCATCGTACAGGTTTGAAATATGAAAAATGTTGATCTATGAAGTCTGAGATATTAATGATATATGATATACAAAATTTGATAAAATAAGTTGATATGCTTACATTTAAAATTTGAGACAGGCCTATGACTTATAGATTGATTGATTTGAACAGTTTGTATGTGTGCTGACCCTCCTCGGTTAACCCGGGACGGTTAGAAAAAAGAAACACACATTGTTGATGTTTGAATTTGGTGGGTTTGCCCAATTGAAATGGCGTCCCACAATTTTGTATTGTGCCACGGCCAATACCCGCCACAATAAATAAGTATAAATTCTATATTGAGTTTTGTGTCATTTTTCTCTGTATAAATAAATTTAAAGATGAAATTTGATTTCCTAGTGTGACACATTCTTCAACTAGGAAGATGGAATTAAATGAACAATTTGAAATTCGTACTAGCTCAGAAAGCTTCTTTTAAGTTTAAGTTGTTCGAGTCCAGTGGTTCTAGAGAAGATTTGTTCCCATATACTAGTATTTCAATGTAAAACTTCTCTTTCCGATTGTCCTCTTTCTCAGGAAGGCTCCTCCTCATAATTTTACAGCTTTTCCAATTAAGTCGTTCTTTAAAAGTTTTTTAGATAACATATTTTTGCATTTCCTTGAATATTTGCTGTTTCAAAGAGCCTTTTTCCTTCATTCTAACAATTCAAATGACCTTTTGTCGTACTTTTGATTATAATAATCTAAAAGGTTCTTGGTAACAATTCGAAAATGCAAAAGAACTACAGACAGACAGATGAACGAAAAAAGTACAATGGATAATCAGCTAGAAAAGGTCAATAAAGCTTTCAGATGTAAATGAGGATAATAAATAATGCGCAAAAAGTAAAAAAAAAAGTGTATACTTTGGAACAAAATGTTTCATATATTTTTCCTCTTCGATTTTTTTCTTTGGACTCAATCGTGTGAAAATTCGTAAAAGTATAATTATAAACAAAATAGAAAACTCTAAAAAAAAATATTAACCACAAATTGAAATTAATATTTGAGCTATTCACAACGTACTTTCTTCCAATTCAACGCTCTGATATCTTCTTAAATTCTTTCTTTTCCAGAATATTATGGCAAAAACGAGGAACAGTAGAAGAAGTAGTAGAGAGAGGAAAGTTCCAATTATTATCTTTACATCGTTTGATTCCAGATCTGTATTACTGGTCTCTGTGGTCAACATTTTCATCGTGGCATTGGTTGTACTTAAATAGAAAGCATTGGATTTTGTCCTATAATTAACACAATTTTATATTTGCTTATTACAGGTATCGAAAAGTATGTTTCAATGTAAAAATAATCAATCCGTTATCGCCTAATTCTGCGAGCACTCGTATTTTAAGTATTTAAACATTTATTGAATTTTTTTTTCTTTCAAATCAAGATTGAATAACTCTAATTGGCAAGTATAATATTTAATATGTATAATATTTAATATTATATACTTTCATGTTAAATACTAAAATCTGATTGGTTTAGACGCAGTTAACAATCCGTTAGATTTCCCTGAGCCTTAGCAACACACGTGACAACGGGTAGCACAACGGTAATGCCACATGCGTGGAAATTATGCGCGTACGGTTAACCGTAGAATTCTCAAAACGTCAGTTGCGCGACACCAAACGACAGACGATACATGCTTGCGAGTGTAGAAAACATGCTTGCGATCCAGAAATAACGAAACTTTATATAATAAATGACTCTAATTCGAGTATCAAACAAACAGTAAGGAGATTCGTGAACCCGTGAGTGTGAAAGCTTTCTATACATGAACGTAAAGACGATCGACTTTTTTTGTTGCTGACGTTCTAAATCAATAAGACATTCGTTATAATAAAATAAATGGTGCCTGTTTTGGAGGAAAACATTTGAAATTGACACCCCTTGGAAAACCATTGTCAACCTCCGCTGATGCGTCGGTTGACAATGGTTTTCCTTGGGGTGTCAATTTCAAATGTTACCCTCCAAAACAGGCACCATTTAATTATATATTGTCTCCAGGAACGTGTTGTAGACATTACTTTGACCATGAAAAAAAAAGTCAGATCAAATTGAAAGCTTACGTGTCTGAACATGATGGATCTGCCAAATAACACTGTTTTTCCTTGTTGATTCTACTGCATGCCGAAACTATACCAAAAAAAAAAACGAAAATCGTATTTCTGAATGATAAAGATTTATATTTGCAAATTTCCTTTAAAAAACAACTAAAATACAAACATTTATATACACCAGTTCCTCGGAAATTTTCTTCTGGACAACCGTATTTAAATTGACGACAACTTATTTGATCTAAGGCTCCATTCCCGAACGTCACCAAGCAATGTCCTTATTTTAAAAGAATAAATGGATGTATATGATAGAGTATTTCAATTATCACAGTAAAGATTTCATTCAAGTACCTTTCAGCACTACTGGACGACAAAAGTGCTGAGAATCCCAAATTTTACTGATAATGTTTTATAATTACTGATACGGTGCTGTTCTTGCTGATAATTACTGATATTTACAGTTATTATTTCTGTTGTTGCTGGTAATTTTAGTTCTTGCTGAGAAATGCTGATAATAACTGTCGTCTCTACTGTTGAGTCTGATAAATACTGATAAATACTGTTGAGGTACTGTCGTTGCTGAGATTTACTGATAAGTACTGTGGCCACTTTTTTTTAAGGTGGGAAGGAGCTAAAACAGAATTAAGGGCTATAAAAACTTTCAATTATTTCCTTCTTTTATTTGAATAATCATGACAACATTTCCCTATTACTTTTTAAATGTTCTACGAATAACAGATATTAAACATTGATCTCACTTCCTTACTACGATACTCAGTTGTCAAAATGCTGACAATCAATTAAATGAAATCTTCAGCGTATATTAGCATGATTAGGCAAATGTTTTCTCCAAATCTATGAAAATAGTATGATTTATCTGTAAGCTAGTTAATCTAGATGAATGGATTAATTATTGTATATATTACTGAAGAGATAATTTATAATAATTTTCTGTTATTAATAAAAGGAACATAAGACCATCTTTTAAAAAGTAAACTTCATTTATTCAGACTCTAAAATAGGGTAGGTAGGTCAGTGATGTTTATATATCAATAATAAGAAATAATTCTCAGTGGATGGGAAAAAATTCGGGATTAGATATGTTTCTTGCAGGTTAGAAAAGTTTTATTCATAGTACTGTTTTCACAGTGTTTTCTGTTTTAATTATAAATATTAAAACTAGAATTTGTGCATACTGGTCAAAAATTTTAAATAGTAAACAATCAAAATATTTTTTTTTAATGTATAAATTACTTCGTGCAAAATTTGATAATGGACATGAATCTAAATGGTAAAAGAATTCGAAATCAATTTTAGACAATTGTGGATATAGTAATATTTGGAATCAGAATCATTTATTTAATAGAACTTGGCTTATTAAAAGTTTGAAACAAAAACTACTATATCAGTTCCAACAAAATTGGAATTCAACCTGTAATGATTCTTCAAAATGTGCGACATATAATCTATTTACAAATTTACACTTTGGATGCCAATTTTATGTAGATAGAGGCTTAAGTATATATAAGAAACAAATTTTAGCTAGATTTAGAACAGCAAACCATAAATTACCAATTGAAACAGGAAGATGGGAAGGTACTGAAAGAATTAATAGAATATGTTTTTTTATGTAAAAATGATCTTGGGGACGAATTTCACTATATATTATCATGTGAAAAGTTATATATTGTATATTCCGAAACATTATTTATCAAGACCAAATGTTATAAAGTTTAGTGAATTGTTTTCTTCGAAAAATATTGGGCTATTAAGTAAACTTTGTTCATTTATTAAAATTGTAAACGAGAGAGTCAGACCTCCAGGTTAACATCATTGTGAATTATTATATGAATATATTTGATTATAATAATAAGCACAATTTGTATATATGTTATATGTAATGCTCACGCATATATGTATATATGTTATAATAATATGTATGATCTGTATGTTGTTAAAATAACAACGAAAGAGATGTTAATAAACTGGTAAACTGATCAGCAACAACAGTAATAATAACAGTAAATATCAGTTATTATCAGCAAGGACAGCACTGTATCAGTAATTATCAAACATTATCAGTAAAATTTGGGATTCTCAGCAGTCTGTTCGTCCCGTAGTGCAGCTTTCTATCAATATGCAATTTTGATAAGTCATGGTGTTTTAATTTTATTTGTCATATACATGTATACAATTAAGTATTTTTGAATCTAAAAAAACTTTCTATGAAAGTGTTGATGTATTTCTAACAACGTTTAAAAAAAATCAGGTTTGAGAATTAAACTTAAGATGTTGTACCATGTTGTCGCAACACCGTGCAGTCAATATTACAAATACTTCTCCTTACCCTTTTGATAAATCCCGACAATTTTGCTGTAACAGAATTCTACAAGAGCTGATATGACTTCGTTAGGGACACATGTATACTGATTACGTCCATACTTGTCCTCACTGCAGTTCAGTCTGGTAGCAGCTGAGATAAACTCTGTCTTATTGGTAGGACAGGAATCCACCACGTACCCAAACCCTCGGTATGTCATATCTAGAATAATATGAGAACATGGATTCAGTTTGTTACGTTTAAGGTTATCAGCTTCATTTAATAAAAAAATCATTAACTAAAAATACTCACAAAAGCATATCTGAATTCAAACAGTAGCATCGTGTACTATATTTACACACAGTATTTCTTAAAAGAATATTAGTAGTAGATATAAACATAATAAATGAGAATAAATTTAAATCCAAATATAATTTCAATATCATGAATTTCTTTTCAAATTTACTGATTTTCAACTACAAACATATTATGAACAATGAAATAAAACGGTTGATATACCAAACAGAGATTTAAACAAAATCCTATAAAAGCATTAAAGGACATGAAAACATTAAGTAAAGCACAGATCCCTTAATTCCAGAGATGAGATATATGCCTTGGAGGGACCATCCCTTGAAACATCAAAGTTATTTTTTCAAACTGCCTTGAGCAAAATGCTTATGGAGTGATTGATTGATTGATTTATTTATTGATTGATTGATTGAATGTTGTTAAACGTCCCTCTCGAGAATGTTTCACTCATATGGAGACGCCACCACTTGCAGGTGGAGGGCTACAAATTTTGTCCTACGCGCCTTTAAGCAGTGAGGGATCTTTTTCGTGCCAGCACCTACTGCGACACGGGGCCTCGGTTTACACGGTTTCATCCGAAAGACCGGTCTTCACGTCCCACAGTGGAATTCGAACCCGCGACGTAAGGATTGACTCCTTAATTCGCGACTCTAGAGCAGACGCTTTAACCTCCGCGCCACGCGGGCGACTCGTATGGAATGATACAATCAGATATCAATGACCATCAGATATTGTATATTAATTAGGAGATAGAAGTGTGCAAGTCATGGGATTTCCCCAATGTGTGACCAATGGTAATCGTGTGTCTTATTCATACGGAGACTAGATTTTGCCTTATATTGTGCATCAATAGGGAAACCAGAGGTAGCTTTTTATAGTACATCAATTTAGAGACCAGAGATTACTTACAGGTATATTGTACATCAATAGGGAATCCAGAGGGCACTTATATTGTATTTCAATAGTAGCACCAGATATCACATAGTTGTACATCTAGTGATCACATTATATTGTATATTAATAGAGAGGCCAGAAGTCAACTTATACTGTTTACAGTTTGGGAGACCAGGGATCACCTAATTTTGTACATATACACAATAAGGGAGACAAGAAGTCACCTTATATTTCGTTCAACAATGGAAAACCAAGAGTCGCTCATTTTGTACATCAATAAGGATAATAAGAGGCTATTCATATTATGCATTAATAGAGATACCATAGGTGTCCTAATATTGTACATCAATAGGGAACCAGTGGTCACCTTATATTGTAGTACATAAGTAGGGGGACCAGAGGTCACCTTATACTGTACATCAGTAGGGAAACCAGGTCATAAAGGGTTACTTTAAATTGCTTTACGTAGATACTATAGGTCACCTAAAATTGTATTTTATTAAGGATTTTCATATTATTCATTTTTTTATGATTCAAGGTTTTTGGAAGTCTTAGAAAAGGTCTAATAAAAGTTGACATTTGTACCCATTATAAGGAAAAGAAAATTAATATAGTTTTTGAGAAATTTGATTTTCTGGAATGCAGCCTTAGATACCAATGCTTATTAGCATAATACGAAATAAGAAGTGATTTGTGGTGTCTTGCAATGATAGCAAAAACCTTTTTTCACTATTTATTACTGAATACCTGATGGATACAGGAGACAAAAAATACCAAATAAGTATGAAAATCATGACAATTTCTCTGATTACTTGATTACATATCGTTTTTAACCTAAAATATATATAGGTTGATCATTTTGCAATTAGAAAATGCATTGCTGATACTCCAGTTTGCCTTTTCTGCAAAAATATTGGAAGTTTGATAATTTTCCCTATATAAAACATGATTATTTTTGATCTTTAAATTTAAATTAAAGAAATACTGTTAATAAATTTACGTAATTTTGTGCATTCGGAGATACTTTTATGAGTAGTTTTGATTACTTAACTGCTACTTTAACAAACCTGAGGATCGGACTACTTTATGGAGACCAGAGGACACCTCATATCATACATGAATAGGGTCATTAGGTTTCCTTTTTGCACATTCTAGTCACCTTCTTGAAATGAAATACTAGATTACATCCGTTGTCTGCATTGATATGACACAATTTGTAATCATTGTAAGCAAGATAATGTTCAAATAAGGTTGATGTAACCATTTAACAAGGGATGCTCATTCCTATGCATCTGATCCCACCTAGAATGCAGGAATCTGCTATGTTCTCAAATTCCCATGTTAATTTTTTAGATCGATCTCTGTTTGGTATCTCAATCATTTTTTTTATTTGGTATCCCTTATGATGTATAAAATAAAGTTAGCTTTGGTATTCCTTGTGATATACAAAAGAAAATGACATTTGGAAACCGTTATGATGTACGAAATAGATTAAAGTGACCTTTGGATTCCTTCTGATGTACAAAAGAAAGTGACCATTTGTCTCTGTATTAATATACACATGTACAATATAAGATGACCCCTGGGCCCCCTACTGATGTACAATATTAGGTTATATTGTAATATTGATGAAAATACTTGTAAAAGGTCACTTCTTATAAAATGTAAGATCATTTCTGATATCCCTATTGATATACAATATAAGGGGGACTCTGACCTCCGTATTCATATTACAAATACACACAGACTTATTTGACTATTGGTCTTCAAATAATGAACAATATATTAAGAGGATCTCTGGTTTAGGTATTCATAAATACTGTGGTGGTTTTTACATGTATTTAATTGTATGTGTATGTAATTACAGTGTATTTATGAATATATGCCATATTTTATTCATATTTCCCTCTATTTGTCAGTACTTGTTTGTTTAGAATTAATTATTCCCCTTTGTTTATAACCCGTCTGGGTTGCTGTATAACTTATATCTTATATTTTTATAATATTGCAGTCAATGTTGCTCCTCTCCCATATCTTTCCGAATATCAGATGACTATTCCTTTGATAAATAAATACATTCAATATTTGTTGCTTTACACTTTAAAGACTTAATTCATATTAGTGCGATCGATTTATTCTATTTTCACTTTACAGTTCCGGCATTTTCTCAAAGATATTCAAAAGCAGAGATGTTTAAGGTTTCATGAAAGGTCAACATGTTCAAAATATTAATTTTAAAACAATTGCTTCAAAACTATTTGGTTTATAACATGTATAAAGTTAAAACTTTTACAGTTTATAAATATAGCATTAACAGATAGAAAGTATCACTTATTAACGAATACTTGAAAATATTTTTTAAGAAAAATCCTTTAAAAAAAATACATTTTTGAAATACACCTAAATACTTCTGTACTTATGTTTGAAAGATATCATAACAGAGACAATATTTGGTTGCACTTCGATAGCCCCAGGAAAAATGTTTTTATTTTATCCAAAAGTTAAACCGAAAGTAAATTGCATATGGCGGATTTTATTGAAGTCTTGTCTTGATAGATTTCATGCTTTCAATAACAACCTTCAGAAACCATTCCTGTCCATCTTGCCCTTGGTTTCAAACATATCTGCAATGATGGTTTTCACTAGAAATATAGAATTCATCAGGTGCACTTTTTAAAAATCTACAACTTGTATTTTTATTAGATATTTTTTGTAAATAATACTATCTATATCTGCTTATCAATGATATATTTATAAACGCTAATAAATTTATTTAAATTAATAGTTTTGGAACTATTGTTAATTTAATTTTTGGGACATTAAATTTGCCCTTTGATGAAACCTTAATTTAAGCTATCTTCTACAGAATTTGCTTTTTAACTTCCATTGTACCATATGTAAATTTATATACTTAGGAGGGTTTTTTTTATATATATTTTAACTAACATGCCATTTTGTAGAAACATATGCATTGAAATAGGTTTAGAGCGTTCTTTTTAAAGAGGCACTTATGAAAATCAAAACAATACATTAATTGGAATCACGTCATAAGTGCGTGGATATCGAGGTATCACAAACTACTTAAATGATAGTTGCATGATTCAGAATATTACTAACACCTTCAATTCATCTCTCATTTGACGTCTCAATATCAGTGAAATATTCTGGAGAGGGATATTAAACAGTATACAATCAATCAATCAATCATCTAGCTCTCATTTTATATATTAAAGCAAAAGTTCACTTTCTAATAAGTATAATTGCTCTTTCGATTCACTGTCTCTAAAACGAAAGTTGATTAAAATAAGTTTACTTACTACTTTCCGAATTGTTCGCATTTCTTCTCAAAATTATTTTTCTTTGTCAACATTTCAAGTAATATTTTTTTTTCATTCCTATAGTAATCAAACATATGTAACGAAAACGCCCTCTAACCGGACATAGATCAACTGAATTATATATTTTGACCTTCACATTTACAGGAATTTTTATAAAAATAGATACAACTAAATGCTACTTTATTGATCTTTTTTAAAAACATATTGTAAAATTTAAAGAAATTTCTAGACTAATGCTTGTACACTTTATTGTTAGATTATGTCAGTCACCCAGATAACACCATGACATGTTGTCTATCTTATCAGTCATTGTGCGTCGTCTGTATAGTTTATAAACTCTGTACTCTTTGGCTTCCTATAAAAACTGAATTTCAAGTGGGTAGCATTTATTAGCAGAAGCGTTTATTGCCATGTAAAATTAAACTTGTGTATTCCAACTGTACAGAAAGAAATATATAAATTTTATTTGAAGTAAGAAAAAGTCCACATGCAGTTACACATATATATATTTAATTATATACATGTACCTTGATTTGAAGAAAAAAAAACATAGTTTTAATTTGTTTCGTTTCGTTTCGGCAGATTTCGTTTTGATTTCGTCTCGTTTCGTCTTGATTTCGTTTCGCTTCGGTAGGTTTCGTTTCGTTTCGGTAGATTTCGTTTCGTTTCGTTTCAGTTCGTTTCGTTTCGTTTCTATTCGATTCGCACTTTACAGGTACCCTTCCAGCTCTTAAGGTTTGTCATTCCAACTTTAAGGTAGGTAATTCTCACATTAAAGTTCGTACTTTTAACATTTTTTGTCTTTTCCGACTGGAAACTTTGCTTTTCAAACATTAAAGTTGGCTTTTCGAACTTAAAAATTGGTTATTCGAACTTTATTCTTGACAATTCCATCTTGAGCTTTTCTTCCTTTTTGGGGTTAAAAAAGTTCAAAAAAGTGTTTTAAAATCCATATCTCATATATCAATTATTTTTCTTTTGTGTGGTCAAATTCTTTTGTCATTCAACGATTTAATTTTTAATGCATTTTTTAAATCGCAATGGTAAATATTCTTACTCATCCAACGGTAGGTCTTAAATACATGAACTTTTTTCTAATTTGAGAAGAAACCTGGAATTACATAATGAGTCAAAATCATGTGTTTCTTTTATGAAAATTGTATCACAAACAAAAGATCTATGTGAAGTATAAATTTAGCGAAGTTTTGACAAATCAACAGCACTGTAAAGCAAGAAAAAGCTGCTAGAAAAAGCTGAAAATGTTCGTAACAAAATTAATGCTGTTTCTATTGCCTAGTTTTTATCGTCATTGTCAAGATCAAAGTCACTTGTCATTTATTTTATGGTTATGTGTCGTGGTTGTCGTCCTCGTTATCGGTATTGTGAACCACTGGGCCAATGTCAAACAAACTTAGCACAGAGTATTTCTTTGTGACGGGGATTTAAGTTTGTTCAAATAAAGGGCAACACCCTCTTCCAAGGGGAGATAATTTAAAAAAGCAAAAAAAAAGGAATTGAAAAATCTTCTCAAGAACCGAAGGAAAGATGAAAACATCATATGATGACAAAATACCATCATATAATGACAAAGTACCATCATATAATGACAAAATACCATCATATTTTATTTGTAATATTATCATCATGATTGTTCTATCATTTGGATCCTCCTCCTTCTATTTGTAAATCTTTTTGCTCCTCCGGGGGCCCAAATTGGATGAATAAAAATCTTGTATCTTGTATAATGACAAAATACCATCATATAATAACAAAATACAAGTATATAACGACAAAGTACCAGTATATAATGACAAAATACCATCATATAATGAGACAAAATACCGTCATATAATGACAAAATACCATCATATAATGACAAAATACCATCATATAATGACAAAGTACCAGCATATAATGAAAGTTGTCCACATAAGGCAGTTACGGCGTTCCATAGGAGCATATAGGAAAAATCTTAATTCTCAATTGCAAGCACAGCATCCTCTAGTGATGTGGATTCAAATCATAACCCCAAGAGGTAGAATGGGACCACGATGAAAATTCAAACTTGTCGGACAAAATATGTAAGCATCCTGTTTAAATCATACTCCCCTCCCTCGATCCTTCTCCTTTTTATGGGTATACTGGACAACTTATGCATTCAAGACTTGTAATACTAAAGTGTTTTGGGGTTTTTTTCTTTGCTTTTTTTCCCTCAGCCACGATGCTCAGGTGATCGATATAACCCCTGGGCTTCTTGTTTAAAGATTGATAAAATTTCTTGGCCATCCGACATTTAAATCGGTTTATATGTTATTTTATGCCCACCTAGAGATTTTTTTTTGATATCCATATAAGAAACCGGACATAAAAGCTGCATTGGCGTCGGAAGCAAATTGAAAGTGGGGGGGGGGGTTAAGTGAAAAAAAAATTATACTTTCAAAAAAAAAAAAATCTAACAAGCAAAAAAAAAAAGAAATGTCCTTTTCCTTAACACGAAAGTCCTATTTCGTGGGGGGAGGTAGGGGGGGGGGGGGTCGAGTTCGAATTTAGATTTTTTTTCCAAAAACCTCCACTTTAGCTATTTTTGACCTATACTGCGACGCGTCTGTGGAAAGTGGGGTTGGCTAAACCTACGAAGCAATGTTCAATGTCTATACCAAGTATATATTTGGACAAAACACTGGGGGGACGTTGTCGTTCCGACGTTGACGTATGTCATTAATCTAAATGGTGACAGCGCTGTGTGATCTATGAATTCTTTTTTATTTAATAATATTTGTGCAAAAAATGAGCCTACAACGATAAAATTTCAATATTTCTATATGTTTTTTTTTGTTTGCTTCTTTAAAAGAACAGACTACATAGTATTAATTTTATCTGCTCACTCCACTGACATTGTGTAAAGGTCTCCCGGCTGATTTCTAAAACAAAGACATGCTTTGAGATGAAGTTCTAAATATAAATGCACACTGCTGACAATATAATTGATGTTACAAAGCTCTCAACAATCTCCTGTAAAATCAGCATTTCAGTATTCTAAAATCGTAATGTTGACATCTGCAAATAAATCTTGCCATAATGTCTTATTCTGAGTTACGTGTTCATAACAATTGTTCGATTCCACTCATCTGATCAATGAAGACGGCTCATAGCGGACATGATCGGTCCACAGGGGATGCTTACTCCTTCTATGTAACTGATTCCATCATTGGTTACAAAGGGGTAATATTTTTACCTTTACCACAGTTTAGCATTGATGAAATTACTTCCTTTTCATTAACATCAACCCTTTCATTTGATTAATTCATAGATAAAAGAGGTTAAATGACCTTGCTCAAATAAACTGATAAGAGGTGCAAAAGTTATCATGTCAACATATGACAAAACACAATGAAGAAGATTCCGGAGTTCCTGGGAGACCCTCTGTACATTTCTGTTACCAAGTTGTTATGGATTGCAGAAAAGACTGTTAAAGAAATGTCAAATACAAGATTTTTGTTTTAAACTTGTATTATTCTATCATGAACTTCTACAAGCTAGATATAAATAATATTGATTGTAAAGAATTACCAAAAGTACACAAATGGTCAAGTACATTGTATAAAGTAATGTATCAATTACATTACCATAAAACATAATATTTCTATTAACATATCAATTACACATATACATGTACAAAAAGAATGTACTTCATTACAAAAGTTACAAATACAAATATACAGATATACATTATAGTTCAAGCTGCAATAACGCATCACTCCCCATTTTTTTTTTCACTGAGAGAGCTCAAGAACATATGAAATTAAAAAAAATAATCATAAAAGGCTATATTATAACGGGTAATACAGTTCTGGTAAGTGTAAATTACCTTGAAAAAATATTGCACCAAAATATGAAATCAGTTTAGAATAGAATTAATTTTGCTCAAAGTAAATGTATAAAGAGTTGTAACATTTAACATTATTCTTGTATTAAGGCACAAAATGTTACACAAAGTAAATGCAAAGGACCAGTGAAAGTATCTATAATATTCTTTTCAAATATGGCCCATGAAAAAAAAAAATCAATTAAAATACATGTATCAGCAGAAGTATTTGAATCATCGTTTTCCTCTTTGTTAACACATGAATACATACATGTATACAAATGAAACACCTACTTTGATAAAGCCTATGTTTTTAACAATTTCAATTCACAGTATATTGGTGCTTCTATGTTGAAACAAAATCACAGCATTGCTGTGGACACCATTTTTTATGTGAAAGTCTGCCTTGGGTCCCAAAAAAGGAAATTTTTCTCAATGTATCTTAAAAATTTATATAGATGTCCTTATGGTATCTGTTATTTCTCAATCTGGACTAAACGTTCTTCAAATGGTTTTTTTTTTCAATGACTTAAGCAAGCCATATAATTGGGGTGCACTTTCTACATAGGACATGCATGTTTTTTTTTTTTTAAAATGCTTTTCACCCTGACTTTAGATGTGCATCTTTTACACCATATTGCGCACAATACACACGACTTCACCGTATTCCTTAATTATCTCTAAAAAAAAATGACATTGTCGTTTATTTATGAAATAGAAAAACAGATAAATTAAATTAGCTCTAAAGGTATCTTAATGTTCTTTTTTCTGATTAAATAACAATTACATACACAGATATCATCACATTTAAAAAGTACAACATTTAAATAGTCAAATAAACAAAAATTAAATTAGAAACTGTAAAAGTTTTTCCTAACATGAAAATTAACAATGTTGAATAAATAATTAAGAAAAATAATAATACAAACAAGATGTCAACAACATTATATGCCAGAGATTGCGTATTCAGTCACAATTCTAAAGAGCAGAGATTGAAACTATATTGTTTACTTTAGTGTATATAAAGGTAAGCTATTCAGCCATCATTTACAAATAATTCATAAAAATGTTCAACAAAAAATCAGGTTCAATACGAGAAAAAATAAATTACTGAAAAAGTTCAATGGTTCTAATATACCAAATGACCCTTTCATAAAAACGAAATCTTGCACAAAATTTAATAAAATACAGTAAATCAAGTTCCACATGGAAATATTACGGAAATATCAAATTAAAGCCAAACAGTAAATTTGCCAAATGCGGCCATCTCTAGTTCCAAATAAGCTGGATTTGGCAACAGGCCAGATGAGATAACATTTTTAACAAATGAAATAACTGAGAGGGACTTGATGTTTACATCACATTAGACAAGATGTTGGATTCACAGTATTTGGAACAGACAAGTTAATAGACTGTAATAAGCAATTCAAAGATCAACCACTCGTTTCAGCCTCAATTTCCTCAAATCACACACCAAATATTTGCATCTGCATTTGCTCAGCAACTGCAAAACTATTGACCAGCAGTATTTATAAAGTTACTTTCAAAACATGAATTTGTTCAATATAGACAAAAATAATTTATCTTTGGCAAAAAAAAAAAAAAAAAAAAAAAAAATCTGTTTAAAAAAATCAAAACCCAATGAGAATGCTACATTATAAATGCCTACTCAGAGAATACAGCTTTTTTTCTAACAATTTGGTCATGGTATATAATATAGACTTAAATACAAACTACATGTATACGAATTAAGTAGAACATAAATATTGAATGTATAATTGCACCACTTCAATGCTCCTGCTTTGCACGCTCTTCTCGCTGTTTCTGGATCGTGTCAGCGTTATACAAGGCCTCCTTGGCCAAAAAGTTTTCTCTGAGCATCTGTAACTTAACTTTGAAAGGCATGTCCGGAATTAGGTACATCACAAGCCATGTACAAAACACCACTAAATTCTGAAAACAAAAATAGCAAGCCATGTACAAAACACTATTAAAATCTGAAAAAATATAATAAAGCCAAAATCACTGGATATATACTGTATAAGTGGAAATTTTTGCAAGACCCAAATTTAGCGAATTGTCCTAACCATGCTTACAAATGGGTATTAAATCTTTAGCGAGTAATTTTAGATATAAGAAAATGTCACCAAAGAAGCCATTACAACTAAAACACATTTAATTCAAAGTGATATTCAATTTTAGAGATCTCAGCACCCCAGCTAATAATTCCTAAATTAAAGCCTCGCTCAAAATTCTACTTCTATGGTAATTATATAATTTTATCTTAATTTGGAGACAGGTAGAGGAAAAACAACAACAGTTCACATTGTGAAAGCAAAATTTTGTATTACAAATAAATTTTTACCGTCACAAAATTAAAAAAAAAACCAAGATTGAATGAACTAGAAGACAAATATTACATGAACTGTGGAATTATTTAGGTTCATGGGGGTCAGTGTTCATTGGATTCCACAGTTATACATATATATAAATGTACAATAATACTATTGGAAATTCCTAACGTTTTTTTTTCTTTAGGAGAGAGCGGGGGCTTACCTCAAAAACAACAACGAAAGCTAGTTTAGCTGCAATGATGTGCCAATACGCCATAGTGAAGTCATAGTCTCCAGGCATGCCAGGGTCTTCCGCAAAGAATCCTCGGTACCTGAAATGTATAACATTTATCTATGAGCAATTTGTGGTTTGAGGGTATTTCTTGTAATTATTCTTCTAAGTAAACATAGGTAATCAGAGATTACAGAGCTCACCTCAACGTGTGTTGTCTTTAAGTAAGGCAAATTAAGTCACACAATTAACCAACAAAAAGTGTACATCCAAAAATGCAAAATTTATGCAATTTTGATACTTTGGAATAGACCTATATAAAAACTAAAAACAAGTTCTTCATCATGAAAATGTAATTAAAATCCAGCATCTGAAGCAAGATTGCGAGTTTTCATCCCTTGATGCATCATTTAAGCAACTGGTTTATATAAGCCTTATAGTTTCTTGGTGATAGACTTGCACCCATAACTTTAACGAGGTCTATTATCTGGAAAATGTATGTCGAATTCAGCATCTGAAGCAAGTCCATTTGTGTGCATCCTAAGATGTATCATCCATGCAAGTTTGGTCAACATAGGGCTTAAAGTTACTTGCAAATGAAACCTGTATAAAATAATTAACCTTTCCACTAATCCAGAAAATGCAGGTCAGATTCAGCATCCGAAGCAAGTCTAGTAAAATGCACCCTTAGATGTACCATCCATGCAAGTTTGGTCATTATAGGGCTCAAAGTTACTTGGAAATGAATCCTGCACCACTTTAACCTGTTTACTCGTCCAGAAAATGTAGGTCAGATTCAGCATCCGAAGCAAGTCTGGTAGTATGCATCCTAAGATGTACCATCCATGCAATTTAGTCATTATAGGGTTCATAGTACACTGTACCTTGAAAATGAAACCTTCACCAAAAACTTTAACCTGTTCACTCAACCGGAAAATGTAGATCAGATTCAGCATCCGAAGCAAGTCTAGTAGAATACATCCTAAGATGTACTATCCATGCAAGTTTGGTCATTATATGTCTCATAGTAACTTGGAAATGAAACCTGCACCAAAAACTTTAACCTGTTCATTCAACCTGAAAATGTAGGTCAGATTCAGCATCCAAAGCAAGGCTGGTAGTATGCATCCTAAGATGTATCTTCCATGTAAGTTTGGTCATTATATGTCTCATAGTAACTTGGAAATGAAACCTTCACCAAAAACTTTAACCTGTTCACTCAACCGGAAAATGTAGATCAGATTCAGCATCCGAAGCAAGTCTAGTAGAATACATCCTAAGATGTACCATCCATGTAAGTTTGGTCATTACAGGGCTCAAAGTATATTCGAAATGAAACCTTCACCAAAAACTTTAACCTGTTCACTCAACCGGAAAATGTAGGTCAGATTCAGCATCCGAAGCAAGGCTGGTAGTATGCATCCTAAGATGTATCATCCATGTAAGTTTGGTCATTATATGTCTCATAGTAACTTGGATGAAACCTGCACCAAAAACTTTAACCTGTTCACTCAACTGGAAAATGTAGGTCAGATTCAGCATCCGAAGCAAGTCTAGTAGAATACATCCTAAGATGTACCATCCATGCAAGTTTGGTCATCATAGGGCTCAAAGTATCTTTGAAATGAAACCTTCACCAAAAACTTTAACCTGTTCACTCAACCGGAAAATGTAGGTCAGATTCAGCATCCGAAGCAAGGCTGGTAGTATGCATCCTAAGATGTATCATCCATGTAAGTTTGGTCAACATACGGCTTATAGTTACTCGGAAATGAGACCTACACCAAAAACTGCACCAAAAATGTTAACCTGCACCAAAAACATTAACCTGGTCATTCCTTTGCTGAAATTGCAGCATCTGAAACTTTGACTGGTACAATGAAACACACTAGCAACATCTTCCATGCATGTCTAATCAATATAGGACATAGAAGTACTTAAAAAGAAAACTGCTCCAAAAAACTTAACCTTAACCCGGGACGCCGATGCCGACACCGACACCGACGCCGACACCGACGCCGACGCCGAGGGTATCACATAAGCTCCCCCCAACTTCGTTGAGGTGAGCTAAAAATGAAAGTAAATATAATGAACAGAGACTTTAACTATAGCAATCAGCCCTGCAATTTCGCTTATTTTACAGTGTGTTTCAAACACACATCCTTACCTGCATTCAGTAACGTTGCCAAACACGTCAATTTTCTTGTCATCAGGGATACTTTGATCCTGGAAGTACTGCACCTTAAACACGGACAGACTGAAGTTGGTGTACCCTGACAGCGTACGATTACTGTAGCCGTAATAATAGACCAACTTAGGGATAAACTCCGATGTAAACGCAATGATTGCAGCCTAAAAACAAAGAATTTTAAAAATTATTATTTATAAATTTAACATACTCATACACAAAAAAAACAAAATTTTATTATGACTTTTGTTTTGTGAAAAAAAGGAACTATTACCTAATAAAGTTGAATGAATTATTAAGAATATTCAATTTAATAAATCTCAACATTCTCTTTATTTTTTTTCTCTTTTTTTGAATAATAATCATACTTACACAAAATTTAGAATTTCAAGAAATATATTTTTTATTGTTAAAATACAACTACACTTGTGTATCTACAAATTGCATGGATTTTCTAAACTTTATCATACTTGTATCCTAAATATTAATTTACAAGTCATTGTTCAGTAAATGATAGATAATGTACATATTAATTTATACACAGATTGTAACTTACATTAGAAACCACTGCTATTGCTGAGATTCCTCGTAAGATTCCAAACCAAATACCTACATCACATAATTAAATTAATTTATCACATGACTTACTTATTTTTGAATAGAAAATAAATTTGATAAGAATCATGATGAAACTTTTTGATAATATTCTATTCACAATTCAGTGACAAGTATTTCAACAAAATATATTGCACAAAAAACTAATATACATGATTATAAAACAACTGGTTTTTATAAGCTCTACATCATTACATGACTGTATAAATTAATCTGAAAGAACATTTTATTGACTTCAAAGATGGATCTAACATTTGATTAATAAAATTTTTTTTCTTTTTGTTTTCTTTTCCCTTAATTTGCCTACATTTGTACTGAGAAAGAACATGTTATATTTTTATTGAGCTCACTAAGTCAATCTAATTTTACCTATAACTTGAGCTCTCTCAGTCAATCTAACTTTACCCATATCTTGAGCTTGTTCAATCTGACTTTACCTATATCTTGAGCTCGTTCAGCTAAGGGTCTCTTCCACTGTGTGGTGAACTTGTAAGCATCAACTCGGATCTCTATAATGTTGTTAATGAGTGCAAATAGAGGTGCAAGAGGGAAAGCTGCCACAAAAATTGTCACAAAGCCATATTGAATCACTGAAAGAAATTAACCAAAAAAAAAAACCATCAACAAAGCCATAATGAATCTGTGAAAAAATTGACACATCTAGATATCAAACAAAAGATACACAGTTGAACTTCGGTATCTCAAACACTCCTAAGTCGAATACCATGGATATGTCAAAGTAATTTGGAAGTCCCAACCACTTATTCTGTAAATGTTTTAACCTCGATATCACGAATCCTCGGATATCTCGAATCCTAGAATATCTCGAAGATTTTTTTCAGTCCCATTGAGTTCGAGATACCAAAGTTTGACTTAATATATTCTCCAAGCCTTAATATGGAAGCCAATAGTATGCTGATACAAGATAACGTTACCCATTTCTAAGTATTCATCAAACAGTCCTAGAGCTGGCACGTTGGCCAGGTTATAATCCTGTTCCCAGGATTACTTACCCATTTCTAAGTATTCATCAAACAGTCCTAGAGCTGGCACGTTGGCCAGGTTATAATCCTGTTCCCAGGATTACTTACCCATTTCTAAGTATTCATCAAACAGTCCCAGAGCTGGCATGTTGGCCAGGTTATAATCCTGCTCCCAGCGGGAGTACACCTTCTCTTCTGACTTCTCCTTCAAGGACTGACGTGATCGGAACCATACCATCACCTTACTATATCAAATACAGACAAAGCCTTGAAGAACATCTTATTCGTTCTTGTTTAGATTTTTTTCTTCTTTCAAAGGGAAAAAATCTAAACACTCAGTAGCAACCACAAGTCAAATTTTAAATTTAGTATATACCACTTGTGTTATATATCAAATCAAAGCTTATAAAAAATTATTTAAGAAAAATATAATTTCGAAATTTTCTGGTCAAGCATTGTTACTAAAAATAGATTGCGAAATGTAAAGGTATTGTTCTAGTGTGTGACCACTTTTCTGAAGAAAATACCTAGTAGCATTGAGGTCAAAACTTAAGGTAATGTATTCAAAATATAATCTCTCTCTTCTTATTGCCTTTGCCCAGAATCAGAGTTATTAAAGTTCAATTGCATCAAACACCTAGAATAGATTGACTTGAATCATTAGATAGTGAGAGTCTTCTTCCGGTATAATTAATTGGGTCACATGGGACACGCAACGTTACGTTGACGTTATGCTTATAAAAAGACGTCAACAAATCCAATCAATAAAAATGATCACAAATTAATTTAACAAGATTTGTTTGTGAAACACTATGCACCTGGCAACACAAAATAAAAAAAAACTTTTTGGCACATATGTCACAGTCAAGGCCACTAGGCAATTGACCTTGGTGTCATTTGAGAGAACATGATTAGTAAAATATGGATACCAAAAATGAAGTCTCTATTTCCTATGGTTCAAAAGTTATTGCAAAGGTAAACTAAAAACGAAAAAACTATTTTTAACATACAGGTCACAGTCAAGGTCACTGGGTTTTTTTCTTTAATTACTAGAAATTTAAAGACTTTATTTATCCTTTTGTAAAATTAATCTTTGTGTTGGGCACAATGCTTGCAATTACAAAATTCCGTGGCGGATCAAAGGGGGTCGCATCCGCCCCCTAAAATTGTCAAAGTTAGCGTAAATCATAGTTTCGTCGAGAAAATGTAAAAATGTCTACTCGTTAACCTCAATTTTTCCTACAAATCTCTAGAATTCAGCTTAAACCAGACCCCTGCCGATTATGGGCGCCCCCTCTAACTTTAATCCCTGGACCCGAGCATGGGATTTATAGAGAGTTGGAGTGATATATACTTATTATATAAGGAAACTAAAAATCATGAATTTTTGTTATAAATTATTAAAAACAAAAAATTGTATTTTAAATTCTTCATACGAATACATTTGATATGATGCAGAGAATTGGTAATGAACTAGTATTACTAGTAACTGGGAGCGTGATGTAAATATTAAATTATTCCGATATGTAAGTGGAGACTAAAATTCTGAATAACTAAAAAAACTAGAAGAATATAAGTCATAGATATGACAGCAGCATATGATAAATTCTGAAAAAAAGGAGGGGGGAATTTAATTGAAAATTCATTTGAACGACATTTAGTTAAAAATGTAGATCTTTCCTAATGTGTGTTAAAGGTTGTCCGAATTTTTTGTGAATTATTAAAGCTCTCTCTCTCTCTCTCTCTCTCTCTCTCTCTCTCTCTCTCTCTCTCTCTCTCTCTCTCTCTCTCTCATGTAAAACATTTGATTTGCCCCGCTTTTGAGAAAGCGATCGAGGTTTCTTTAAATCTTATTCGTCTGTCTGTTTGTCAGTCAGACTGTAAATCTGTTTGTATGTCACAAAAATTCAACTTGGTCATCTCTTTAGAATTGGAACAGAGAAGAGATAGAATTTTATATTATTCATGTGTTTAAACTGTGACAAGACCTTTCTAAATACACTACAAGAAACCTATATATTGTTGCAAGCGTCAAAAATCAGCCGCAAACCCAATTAATTGTTCCTTTGATATAGTAATAAGAAACTGAAATTTGCGTGATCTGTTTTTAAAATTTCTACATTTATCCATTAAAATATCCTTGTGACATAAAACACGTGCATGCGATATTGCCGATTTTCTTCATGCATAATGCATATACAATAAACTGTATTTGTATAAGCAAACTGTCCATAGACTTCTGCGTATCTGCACTCAGTTTGGTACTTGTAAACGAACTCTGATAGAAGTTTAATGTTAAAGTAGTTTTAGCAACAAATATAAAATATGTGGGGCTCCTCGCTCTCTCTTAGAGAATGTTAACACCCCCCCCCAACTCCCCCTAGATCCACCACTACATTTCTTCTCTTTCAAGTCTCTGTCATGTTAGCGTTTGTCAATCAGGATTGGATGAAACATTTTACACCCATTATTTAAGAAATTGATTTTATGATTATTGTGCTTTTTGTTAAACATTTAAAATAGCTTTTTTTTATTTTTCTATATAATATAAATATTAAATATTTTTATTTAAATTGTTCTAAGTCCACAGAAACGCACGGCGACTTCAAACTTTCATATCGAGTAACCGTCCGCCTCCTGGCGGCCCCTCATAATTTTTTACCTCATAACCTTGATCTTGAAGTTCGAAATACTTTTCAAAAATTTGAACCTTGGTCATAACTTTTGAATGAGAAAAGATACAAAGTCAAAAGCCACGGTTTGGCGTCCGCTTACTAGTATGTGATAGGATTGTACATTTTAGTCGTGGTTTGTGACGATGGAAAATACACTGTATAGAGCTTTCACATTTCATATGTATATTATCATTTCTAAATACACTATGGATTTTGACCTTGTGACCTTGAACCTTGACGTTTGACATACTTTTCAAAAATGCAATTTTCCCCTTATAACTTCTTATTGAGAAGAGATAATGCTTTCATATTTAACATGTTCATTGATATGATTAATGACCCCTTGATCTGGACCTACAGTGTATATGTTTGACCTAATTTTCAAAAAATCAACTTTAGTTATAACTTTTGAATGACATATTATAGGGCGTTCATATTTGGAACAATATGCCATAAATAATGTAATATTACCCACGTATAGACAAACAGCCGGTAAAACAAATTACAGATTTTGTCTATACACGTACATGTATAGTACATCGGTACATGCAGCACTTTCATCCCCATGTATGTTCATTAAATTAGATGTCAATGTCTAAGACATTTGATATACACTTTAATTTTTTTTCATCACGTAAATGAAATTTTTCATAAGTGAATTCTTCAATCCTGTTTTAATAACCAAAAAGTACAATCTGAAAAGAGTCAGAAATGAAAATTTTAAAATGTCAGAAATGAAAACTAAAACATGTTGGCCATGAAAAGTTGAAATATCGAAAAATTTCTAATCGGCAATCCTCAGCTGACTCCGCTAGGCTCCATTCAAACCTCTGAGGTGCGATGTATGAGCCGCCTGAGATGCTCTGAAAAATACCAGAAATGAAATGCAGCTGGGGGACCACAATTTTAGACCTCTTTGATGCATCAGTGATATTATTTTGCCTATTTGATTTTTACTATTCATCCGTCTACCCATCCATATGTTCATATTCTACATAGGCGTCGAAACCGGGGGGGGGGGGGGGGGGGTAAGGGGAGGGTATAAGGGTTTATTACCCCCCTATTTTTCAAAGATAGATATTTTTAGGCATTGAAAATTGTGCTTTACCTTTTTTGTTGGTTTAGCCCCCCCCCCCCCCCCCCCACTTTCAATCAGCAACCTAACTTTCAATTTGCTTCCGACGTTTATGCCCTAACATGCATGTAATTTATTGTTAGTGTTGTAATCAAGAATACTTAGAAATTTCAGAAATAGTATTTACCAGTCAAATATAATCTAAGTAAAATGATAAAATCTACACAACGTATTAGATTAAATGCATATGATCTATATCCATGGAAAACGAAACCTTATTGTCTCTTGAAAAAATGAGCACCTGGCAAATACTATTTTTACATTTGTGTTGTATATAAAAATAATAAAAACATATATATTAAGTTTCAATAAAATGCCAATGTATGGATATAAACTGTATATCAATGGAAAAAAATCATATGAGACAAGCTGAATGAACGTTATAAAAAAAGATATCCCACGTACCAAAAGTACAAAATTTTCTGTGACATGAATTTTGTAAACACGTTCTTCTGGAATTTAGCATATCATACAATAAGCTACTTTATTCATAAACTCAACTGAATTTATTTACATTTGTTTTAATTAAAAAAATCAGAAGGCTATTGTATTTTTTTCTTTACACTAGATACTTATTTTCTTACATATTTATTTTATTTCTTACTCATGATTATAATTTTTTATTGCTTCAAAATTATAATTTTACTTTATAGAAGTTTTCTTTTTCAGTCCTAATCATCGTTCCTTGTTTTATTATATTTTTGACATGTTTAATTAGTAATTTTCTTAGATAAAAAATTATTATATTTAAAATTATCCCTTCGGGTACACCATAAAAAAGACATCGAGAGTTATCCCCCTCTGAATATTTCTATAGTTACAGTAAACAAACTCCATTACAAAACAATTTCCAGGAATCATGGAGGGCGTGAAAATGACGTCAAATATCATTCGCGCTGGCTATATGTTGTGTTGTTATTTGAAAGATCGCTTCTTAGCGCCGATGTAAGGAAAATAAATCTACACAGTTTCTTAAAGAGGAGAAGATTCTCTTTCGATCTATTATTGTAACACATATGCAACCAGTTCGTCAAACGAGTGAAAAAACTCTCCGAAAAAATGCTTACATTTGACTATCCATAATCACTGCAATATACGAATCTGGCTAGTCGTGTTTGGTATCATTATATTCAGAATAATCAGCTGTATCTACCATTGTACAAAGAAATCTGAATATATCCTCTGTTGTCCTATAAACAGCGGAAAAAAAGAATGCGGTTTTTACGACGCGCTAAAATCGTGACGCTTTATTTCAGAACATGCTTGAACATTTGATAGGAATTAAAACAAAAAACAGCGATAAAAAATTATAACATTATAATTTTTAGATTGTTTAACAATTTATCTTTACAGTTCAATTAGATTTTTTGAAGTTAGAGACACGAGAGTATGTTAAATACGCTTTTTAAAACTGGTAGTTTTGTATATTGTCACATAGCGTAATGAATAACGTAAAATGACTTGTGGATGCTACACTCAGTTTCTAAAATATTTATTTGCTGATTTGGAATCATGAACACATTAGAAAAATAAATTATTCAAGGAGTAATATTTATGGCAAAAAAAAATGCATGAAAAACATACATCTGCACAGTAAAAATATACCTAAGTGGACAGATGATCAAGAGATTTTACATTCATTTGGTTTCAGCTCCATAAAAAATAAAAGCCAGTTATTTTACTTCATGAGTGGTACTTCTCAATATATTACACCATAATGAATTCCTACTTTTCCTAGCATATACCGGTATATTAGGAGTTTTCAGTCACTTTTCAGTGATGACTTACGGTATGACAATCTCTTTCAGATTGTTAATGATTTGTTTTCCCACCATGACGATGCCCAGCTGTATACAGAGCTCAATCAGGCAACCTGAGGGGTCACACTGAAAAACAAGTCATATGAGAATTCAGAATGAAAACAAAGGTACACTGATAATTTGGAGTAACTTGTGTTTAATCTGAATTAAACTCTCCATGTGAACAAAGCATTAAATTGAGGAAACAAGTAGAAATTTCTTAAGATTGAATTGTATTTCAAATTATCTGAATTGGGGCAGTTTACTTTCTGTTATGTGCACATTCTTTAACACTTGCTCAATTTACAAGTGAAACAAATTTCAGTTCATCATACATTAAATATACAACAAATTATTTATTATTTCAATAAGGCAGAATACAGGACAGAGCTATATGAGTTACCTCCTCTTGTCTACTGTTTATCAAACTGCGATTATAATCTCCAGGCCTTCCCACAAATCTATCAACCAAAAATAAAATAGATTTAAATATAGTTTATCAATGTTTCAAAATCAAAGTGGGGATCTTTTACTCAAGAACTGATAAGAATTTTACAGCTGATAACATTATACAAATTCCCACTGTGAGACATTGAGACCGGTTCTTTGGATGAGACCGAGGATTTATCATAAACCAAGGTCCTGTGCCGCAGTAGGTGCTGGCACAAAAAAGATCCCTCCCTGCTCAATGGCTGTAAGTGCTGAGTATGCAACAAAATTTGCAGCTCTCCAGCAACAAGTGGTAGCGTCTCCATAATATGAGTGAAAAGTTCTCCAAAGTGACGTTAAACAACATACAAACAAAACATTCTACAGACTTACTTTCCTTTGAAGAAGGCAATGTAAAATATGGAAGAGTAGAAGTTGACAAATTGGAAGAGGAACATTTTGAAGGTGAAGGCATCCTCCCACTCTGTCAGGGTCCGGTGTTGTTCTGAAAGAGAGGGGGGTAATTATAAAAAATTTTGAATTGCTTTCATAATTAAGATAAACCATCTATGCTGAATCTATCTTGAATGCCTTATTCTAGAAGTCAAAAATTCATAGGGGAAAAATGTAAAATAATTTGATTTTGAAATTGATAAGTGTTTGAAGAAAAAAATAATTTCTAAATTCATAAAAAAATCTACCTGTCTAAAACATTTACTTTAAGTTTAAAAAAAATACTTAAAACATCTAATCAAATATCAAAATTAAATTTTCATTTTTCTCTTTATGAAAGTCTTTGAAAAAAAAGTCAACTTAAGAATAATTAAAGTAAAATAGTAAACCATGCTTCAACAAAGAATACATTTTTTTTAAAATTCCCAGCTCAGTCAAAGATTTTTTTATCAATAACTTAAGAATCCACAAAATTGTGCATCATGCATGTTTTACCATAAAAGTGTGAAATGTACACAATCAAAAATACAACTTGAATTTAGTTATTCTAAATTTAATAACATTGAAAAAGTGATATGAACAAAATTATTATATATCTACTAAATCCAAATTAGAATAAATTCCTAAACCAGGCAAAAAACAATGTGACGTACATCATATCATGTCTCTGTGTTTGGGATAGATCATGTGATGAGCTTATAAATAAATGTTTATATACATATATATTCACCTTTTAATCTTCATCAGCATTAATAGCATGCAAACTATACAAATAACATTAATTAAGATTTCTTATGAATGAACACTGCAAACAACACATTGTACATATCATTAAGAAATTGTTTTAGTACATCCAGACAAGATAATACATTGTTGTATATAGTAGTAGAGAAAAGAAAAACTTTCATGGAATAAGACACAACTCACCTAGCTCTGTGAGGAAATAGGCCACTTTTTGATAGAACTACAAGATATTGAACATAAGAATTACACTTTCACACACAATAACACCTTTGTATTATATTACAGTTCATTCACTTATAAATGCCGTGTTACTGAAGTAATTTTAATTTCATGGAGTTGAAATTTCAGGATTTCTTAAAAAGTACCAATCGCGATGGTTTCAATTTCACGCAGCAAGAATTTAATTTTAATTTCATATACACATTTTCAAAAACCACTGATAGCATTCACAATGGTTTAGTTTCATAGAAAAAAGAAGAATCACGAACATAATGAAATTAAAACCATCATGATTATTTGGCAATCTACAGTTATTGTATACATAGTTATTATTCTGTATTATAATTTACGAAGTTGAGGATGAAGATGATAACTATATATTGTATACGTAGTTTTTACTGCATAGATATAACTTACGAAGTTGAGGATGATGATGATGACTAAGTTGATACAGGCTGTGTTATCTGTGTTATATTGTATTGTATAGTTATAACTTACAAAGAATGAGGATGATGATGATGACTAAGTTGATACATACTGTGTTATATTGCATTGTACAGTTATAACTTACAAAGTTGAGGATGATGATGATGATGACTAAGTTGATACATGCTGTGTTATATTGCATTGTACAGTTATAACTTACAAAGTTGAGGATGATGATGATGACTAAGTTGATACAGACTGTGTTCTATATATGATAACTTACGAAGTTGAGGATGATGATGATGACTAAGTTGATACAGACTGTGTTCTATATATGATAACTTACGAAGTTGAGGATGATGATGATGACTAAGTTGATACAGACTGTGTTCTATATATGATAACTTACGAAGTTGAGGATGATGATGATGACTAAGTTGATACAGACTGTGTTCTATATATGATAACTTACGAAGTTGAGGATGATGATGATGACTAAGTTGATACAGACTGTGTTCTATATATGATAACTTACGAAGTTGAGGATGATGATGATGACTAAGTTGATACAGGCTGTGTTATACTGTATACTTACAAAGTTGAGGATGATGATGATGACTAAGTTGATACAGGCGGCGGTGATGGAGGAGATGAAGCTCGCCCGAGTTTTGATGATGTCCTCCTTGTTACCGTACAAAATGGCCGACATCACAATACGGTAAAGAATGACGGAAAACACTGCGGCCAAGACCAACACCAGCTGTCAATAGCAAACACATGTATAATGTAATAAATATACATGTAGAAAGAAATTATACTCAAAATACATGTATTTATACAAAAATTTGGAATATTAAAGATGATGCCTTTTTCAATACTGCACATTTTTTAATTGCATTTTTCCTTAATATCCTTTATACTGACTGAAATATTACTCCAACAAATGTTTTATTTTTTATTCAAGACTTGCAGAATTTCAATTAATATGAGTTTCAAAATCATTCTTGATACATGTATCATTCTAAATAATAATTCACCTTATGATTTCATTACTTACAAAGAACAACAGAACACTAAAACTGGTGAAATATCGGAAACACTTGCTCCAATATGGAACAAAAGGCTCTTCTCTCTAAAATGAAAGCAACAATAAATTTACTTTGTTTTATTTTTTTTTTTACTTTACACTGTACTTTCATTTTTACTTTTACTTTGTCTTTATTAGTGATGGGGAATCGGGAAAAAATCAGAATTGATTATCGGTAATAATCGGCTGGGCATAATCGATTAATAATCGATTATAATCAAAATTTTGAACTTTAATGAAATTAATATAGAAAAGTTAAAACTAAATCAGATTTCTGTCAGACTTTTACAAAAGAACATTTACTTACATAAAATATTCAAAAATAATAACTGAAATTTCTTTTTTTTAAAGTGGAAAATAATATTTTGTTTACTTTAAAACAATATAGGACTATTGAAACAGAATGGGAATTTATTATTATTTTTTTTTTTTTACAAAGTCCATGCAATGGGTATTTTACTGATATTAGTCCCATGTATCTATTTCTTAAAACTAGTTTTAACTAGTTAAAATTGCAAGTTTTAAAAGTAATTATCCAGAAGTAAGACTTGTATTTATGATTATAATTACGTTTAAAGATTGACTAGACTAATTATGTTTTCCTTTGTATAGTAAAAGATTGCAATATTACCGTTTCCTGGTATTAGTCTAACCCCATATTTAATCATGGCGGTAAAAGTATCAACAAGATACAGAATCCTTCCATGTTTTCAACATTCATCACTACTTTTATCCTCTTTGCATTTGGATTTGGTAATAAAATTAAAGTATGACAATTTTATTTTTTGTTAGCGATGTCGGCGACATTTATTTTGTAATCGATTAGTAGCATCGAAGAGCTTTTAATGACCAACAATCGATTGTCGGCGACAATCGTTCCATCACTAGTCTTTATAGCTTACATTGGTGACAGGGTTAGTTCTCCTCCGAGTCACGCTGGCCTCATACTCTGGTCGAACTGTCTCCTACAAAAATGATAAAATTATACTGAGGAAATTGATTTTTTTGGTTGAAAAATATTATGCTTTTTTTTCATTTCATCATCAATAAAAGTCTGATATTTTTTTTACTGAAATGTCCATTTCCTTTCATTACCTACAAAATCATTAATATTTGAGTTTATGATAAGCAAGTTTTACTGTTCATTGTATTAGAAAAGTAACAGTTACCTCCCCCTCTTCAAAGTCTTCTACATCCCACTCATATTCAATCTCAGCTTGTTTTCGCTTCCAGAACTCATGGAAAAATGAGGCTGTATGGAGAATAACACAGCAAATAAATATTTTAAACTACTTCATACAGACTTCATAACTTCTAAAAGTTTTTGTTAGTTAAAACCTCAAATTACTTTGTCATATACACTGACTACAAAGATTGGTGACTACAAAAATTGGTTGAACCTTAATAACTGAGACTTAAATAATTTGAATGGTCTTCATTCTGGATTAATTTTGTGAGAAAAAGAATTTACATATATATTTATCAGTTATGAAAAGTGTGTATAAATAATCCAAACATTTCAATTATTCCATACAACTTGCTCACAAACACAAATATCAAGATTAAGGAGGTTTGACAGTGTATCAAGCCTTACCCCACAGAGCCATGAATATAGCGAAGGCCACAGTGGCGGAGTTGTCAAACAGATAGGTGGCCTTGGAGTAGTTACAGCTCTCTGACAGACGCCAGTATGAACAGCGCCTGTCACACATCGGACACATGGTGTAGTTACCAATGGTCGGGTCGTCACAGATCTCAGAACTGTAAAGGAGAAAATCACTGCATGTCATTGTTTTAGAATATCATTTCAATAAACATGAAACAAGAATGTAATAGCTGAAACAGTGCATCTGAAATTTAAGACAAGTAGGAAAAATTCTATGAAGTTATAAGTGTCAAACATATAGTTATGGAAAGTTCTGTCACAAATTAAAATATAGGCAAACCTTTTTGATCTCTAAACTGAGATATCCTAGAATTTGAGATATCAAGGGAAATTATATTATATAACTCATATTAGAAAAAGTGGGTGAGTCTGCCAACTCTCTTAAACAAACATGTATCCTCAGGTTTTTGAGATAATGGAGTGTTTTGAGTTGATGAAGTTCAACTTAAATGGTTTTCATAATCAAAATGTAGAGACAACAGAGGTAAAGAATAAGGTATATTTTAATGGAAATCCTAAATAACATTTGTGATTCAGTCTTTGATATTGAACCTACTACACATTGCTCACTAAACAGACAAACCTTGGCACATCCCTCATTAATGTAGCCAGTCCATAGATGAAGACAATGAACCCCACAATGGCGGCCGGTATTAACATGGTGGTATAAAACCCCAGCCAGGTGAAGTAAATCCCTATCTTCTCTCCAAAGTAGTTCCTGTAAGAAGAAGAAGTTTTTATTTTCTTTCCAAAACAAGGGTAAGTTTTGGTAAATTAGTGCTGAACTCATCTGCACATATTACATGTGTAGAGTACAATTGAATTTCCAATGTCAAGCTACAAAACCTGGGGCTTTCAATATCCATCAATGAAATGTTGCATAATTGTACAAAAGAACATCAAATTTGATAAATTTATTAATTGTGTGATATTCAGATTTTGCAAGGTGAATGTTTTATAAAGTTTCATACTATCACTGAAAATCTATCAAGTTCTGAATCATTGGAGGTATGATTTATTTATTTTTTTTTACATAAAATTAATGTACCTGCTAAGAGTTGTAACTAAAACGTTTCAGATTCAGATTTAGATAAGCCTTATATATTTTGAGTTTAATTTCCCAGTTTTGTATCAGAAAAGCAGAAAATTTGTAAGTTTACCTGACTTGGTCCAGCGGCTGATATTTGTACCAACGGCCTGGTCTAGCCCAAAGCTCATACAGTAGCTGTCAATAATTATCACATATTAATTATATATTGGTTTCAATAATCAAGGTGTTCACGTCACATATGTGTTTCAGACAACAAGAAGAAATTTTACCTATACAAAATATAATAAATGTTTTTTTCACACAAATGTAAATGAAAACTGAGTTTTGAGAAAACTTCAAACTATGTTTTTTTTTTAAAAAGATCAAACTAAGAACGTTTCCTCTGATTTTCAAAATAGAAAAACATTTCTGACAGACTCGGACACACTACAGATAACCATTATTAGTCACACAGAGATATCTTACATGTCGATCATTGTCTTTGCCAACAGTTAGCAGGGAGTGTTCACTGTGGTACCGTCCCTGTAAAAATGATAAAAATTCAAATAAGTTAAAAATACTGATGAACTAGTGCATATATCAATAGCTGACATTTGTAGGAATAAATAAAGTCCATTTATCAAAGCTTATGTTCGAAAATAATGCATACAATGTCATTTTGCCCCTTTAAAATGTTTGAACAGTGTCGTTTTCTTTGAGATCTCCTATTTTTAACTTCAACTGCTTGTGACAAGATCAAAAGGAACAAAATAAAATTGGTAAGTCACTGACAAAATTTTCTCTACCTGTGGAACATTGTTGCATTTATTTTTGCAGATTTGTTCTTAAACTTATAAAAGTAAATTTCCTCCATAAAAACTTTCACGTAATTGAAACTTTGAAGATATACCGATTTGACATCAGAGTTAACAACTTACATCATGTAGTGGGTAGGCCGCTGTATATGTCTGATTGTCTGTCAGCTTCCTGATTCCTGTGTAAGACAATTAATCTATTACTGTTCAAAACCACTGCATTAAAAAAATAAGTGCTTCAATATATATCTATCAGAGGGTGAGTTCAATATTTCTTCTTTTTCTATAAATAAATATTTAGTTTGGAAAACTCAATACTCTGTATATATACATGTATCACACTTACCAAAACTCCCTCCTTGTGATTTTGTTTTCAATTTTATTCCTTCATTAACTTTCTTACAAATGAAATATAATACCATATAGAGGTCTTTAGAGTGGACATTTACCGAATTTCTTCCTCATCCTGTCCTCTTCATCATCAAGGTCAGTGAAATGTGTTCGGGAGAGAATCTCGTGACAGATCTTGCTCCTCTGAGCGTTTGTGAAGAAGGTATCCTTGTCTTTTATCACAAACCTGCAATACAATTTTCAAGAAAAATAATGACAGAGATCATTTTAAACTTCTTTAAAAGATTTACAACATTGAAATAAGAAATATACAAGTTCTCTGTTATTTGATTAACTTCTTTTTTTATTAATCTCTTGAGGCATTAATTAATAAAACCTTTGTGTACATATTCCTTCCACTGTTCACTTCTCTTCAATATTCCATTCGATTTTACCAAAAATCCTTAGTCGTTTAACATTTATTAAATAAAATCTAAAAATTCTATGTACATAATTGTACATGTGATAAATTAATATACATAATGCAAAAGGGCAAAATGAAAGATTTCAAGAATATATGGATGTAGTGATTCAAGTTAGTTTAATTGGCCTGTAATGTGCTGGCAGGTTGAATCCTTGTATCATGCATAGATACACATGACTGTATCAGACGAGTTCTCTAAACAACAAAATCTACTAATTAAATATTAAAAACTTCTTAGGTTATCCTTCTACATACAAAGACTTTCTACTTTCTCTCATAGATGAAATCAAGGCAAACTAATCCATTCTTAATTTAAGTATCACCAGTGCAAAATTTCTAACAATTCTCTCTCTCTCGTTGGAAAACTTAGGAGACCAAATTCTATGTCACTGAAAATTAAATTTTTACAGTACACAAAGAGTTTTTGGACATGAAAGACATATTCCATGAGAGATCTTGACAATGCAGAGAGAGTATTTACACATGCCGTAAAGTTAAGATTATGGTAAATTGAAGTCTTATTTTTAGTTCTAAATAGATATAAGGCAATCTTCTACACAATATTACATCATCAACTATTTACCATGCATGTTTCAGAGGTATAAATAATTCTGGTACAATATCAAGGTTTATGCGAAAAAATATTATATTAATAATATTACTTGTACTAAATATCACCTCATATCATAATATAATATATGTCATTCCATCTCCAATTTACTTAAATCAAAATAACTAATTAGATGGTACTGTATACAGGAAAAATTTTCACACCTTTTGCCGTTATAGAATGTATGCAAATTTAAAACAGTGATTTCACAGGAAACTTTTCTTAATCACATCAGCTTTAGCATGGGCAAAATTTAACCAGGGCAAAAATGTTTGAAAGTTTTAAAGGCCAAATATAACAGATAGTGAAAAAATCAGAATACATTAATATACGAACATAATAATATAATGAGTTTTATTTTTTTATCCAAGGATTGAGCTTTTCCTTGTGCAATTTTAGGATACCAAAGTGTTACCGTTATTAGAGAGGGTAGGGGGATGTGGATAAATTAATGTTAGTATGGAGAGAAATTCATCCGTTTTTGGTTCAGAAATGTAAACTCTTAGTTATATATTAAGTGGAAAGAAAACTGCATGTCCATTTAGAACAGAGTTGAGATGGATCAAGAGATATATTACATTTAATGTTAAGTGTATCCTTTACCAGCTAGGAAAAACATTGGACAAAGATTCTAGCAAAGAGACAAAGATTCTCTTCTGGAAATATTGAAAGAAAATCCAACACATAAGAATACAGTGTGTGTACGTGTTGAATATCAATCATTAAAATCTTGTCAAGTTCCAGATAATTTGACAGTAGAGAATTTACTGGAACCATAATTAAATAAATTGTATACTAAACAAGATACAATAGGTTCGTATGTAATCATTAACTTGGGACATAATCAAGGGTATACATGCACCATATGCATACAGATTGTTCTAACATCCATTGTCTTGTTAACAGTTGATTAAAGAATCAAGGAGTATACATACTGTCCTCTGCAATTATAGAGAAATATAAAAAAAAATCATTAGTTACAATGATAAAGGACTTATTAACAAACTACGTCTAAAAAAAAAATGACTGCATGAAAAAGAAAGAGCTGATGGAAAAAAGACTTATCCAAGCTGCGGGCATTTGTTACAATCCTTATGTGTGAACAAAGTACATGTATATGAAAATCACCTCAACTGTTGAATCCACGGGTTCTGAAACTATACTTTTCCTTTGCACTCATACAATACTAATGTGAATTTATTCCTAAATATTCAAAGCTTATTCAACTTTATTCAAAAATTTGCAGAGTTATTATGATCATGAAAGCAAATGTTATGAACAGAGATTTGCTGAACGTTTTTTACAATAAAAGTACACTGATGAAATTTATGAAGAAAAATTAGTAAGAGTTATAACCCTTTGCACAATTACCACAAATTTAAAAAAAAAATCTTTTTTCTGTACATTTTTTTTCCATAAAAAAATATATCTTACAATTGAGTATGTCTATGACATTCTTAAGATCTTGCAACACCTATAATTTATTGTCAATAATTTGATTACTGCAGATGGAAAAAATACTATCATATTTGAAGAAATGCATACCTATACATTAAATACATAATTAAGTTCATCATATACATATATGTATGGAAGGATGACTGGAAAGTTCACATTTTATGGTACACTGAAACGCATATATCCATTGCAAAGATGATACTGCAGAAAATGATGCATGGCAGATTACAAGAATGTTTATTTACCATGATAACAATGTAAATATACTTCAATACTTACTCCTCACCATTCCACTCCACACCAATATATCTGATTACATACAGTATCAAATTGTGAAATAAAAGAACAAAAAAAAAAAGCCATTCCCATCCATCTAGACACCGTTTACATGTCATTAACTATTCTTACGAAAAACTCAATGCAACTGGAATAAAGGTATTTTTCTCTTTTTTTTTGCCAGTGTTTCAGGAAATGTAAAATTTTGACTACTTGATAAAATCATTATAAAGCCTGGATAATTATCCCCCCCCCAAATAAAATTGCTTTATTTCTCTCTAACAAAGCATCCCCCCACCCCAATAAATTGCTTAAGATCTTTCCACACGAAACAGATTTCCAACAACTGAGAAAAATTCTAAATATTGCCTTACGTGTCCATGCGGGCTCTGTTGAAGGGTGCCGTGAAGTAGTTGGTATCGTCTGGTAGGAGATCGGGATCGAGGTCAAAGGGCGACGGAAACTTACTCCAACAGACATCAAAGCAGCTCTCTAACTGTGTATCCATGTCATTCTCCTGTCAAAAGAGGTAGAAAAAGTATGCAGAGTGCTGTAAATAGGATTATTTTACCAACCAAATACAGATATGTTATATCGGTGTGTTCCAGTTTTGCACACATTTGATAATTAGGTATAGAACAATAGGGGTGAAATGTGTTTTGATAACAATTATAGTCTGATTTCTGGTTAGGATTTACCACTGTTCATGATTGATTATTTAGTAAAAACTATTTTGTTACAATAAGAGTAAAGAAATAAATGAAGACTCGTAATGAACATAATAATTTTTGTTGGTTTAATTTCTCAAGTTCATCGTTAGTTTATAACAACATTTTTTCTCACTGGTATAGTTTTTATAAAGTGAAATTCTTTTCTATTACAGTACAGTGTATTATATTTATATATACCGCCAGGGGCATCTTGATGTTGAGAAGTTCAGCGTATCTAGCCAATGTGTCCCAGGGTGCATGGACCTTAACAAAGCAGGTTTTACCATTCTTTGAGGACTGAAATATTAATTTTCATAAAATGATTAATCAATATTATAGAAATGATATGATATATAGAAATTGATTTAATTAAAAATTTTCTGGTATCGAAACCATGGAAAATTTTGTAAATCAAGAAAAAAAATATTCTGATGATCGATGGATCTCTAGAAGAACAATATATAGTTAATTTATTTTAAGAACAATTTCTTTCAGATAGAAGACTTTTAAACCATTAATTTACTAACATTTTGAACATTTATATCCTTCTTGTAACTATCCCTGAAAACACTAAAAAAAAAGTTTATATCCTCTTTTCCCTCATACTTGAGTATCAAGTATCCACCCCCTGAAAACACTAAAATACTTTAGATCCCCACCTCTTTCCCCTTGTACTCCAGTACCAAGTATCCACTCCTGAAAACACTAAAATAGTTAGATCCCCACCTCTTTTCCCTCGTGCTCGAGCTCCAATCCTTCCTCTATCAGATTTTTCTCGAACGTCTCCCGCCTCTGTTTTTTCTTTGGATCCTCCTCGTCCCCCGGCTCGTACGCCAGGACGTAATCAATCTTCCTCCTCCCGTCTTTGAAAAACAAGGTGGCTTTCTCGTTAATTATCTGCAACAATTAAAATATTTACTCATTAATCAGCAGTCAAAAATTTATTCTTCAAATATGCAATTTTTTTTAATAAAGAATAATAATTGGATGCAACCTCCTAAATGTTGGTTGGAAAATCATGGATTACAGATACAGATACATTATGTCTTTTGAATTAGAATCACAAAATTTAATAAAAATTTTTGTTCAAATAAATGAATAGGAGAAATTTGTCTTTCTACATTAAAAGGGCTTACAGAATTTATACATGAAGCATATTGCTCCCTTTCTAAAGATAGCATGCACATTACTCAATACTGTTACACACAGTACAATTTTCCCCCCTTTTTCCCAACACACAGTTTTAGAAAGTACATATATTTGTTATGGTGGATCCGAACATATATGCACCAAATGAAGTAAAATATTGCTGTAAATGAAAGATATGAAAATAATAAATTATAATTATATTATAAATAATCAAATTATATGACATGCATGTACAATTTAGATTTCTGTAACCAAGAAATCTGTATACAGCTCATATACGTTACATCTTAATAACTATACAAATATCCAAATTTAATCTAAGCATGCACAGATCTAATTTTCATGCACCTTATAAATTAGCAAACAGATAATTATATTTATGAATTACCGGTATATTATTTCTGACTTATAAAATATATGCATATAAAACTATACCTCTATACACCAAATTAATAATTGAGGTCTTTTAAAAATATTGAAATCACTTATACAATCAAAAACTTCCTCAGTGACAATCAATGCAGAAGAAAAAAATCTTTTAAAGTAGTAATTAAAAGAAATTACTGAAAGCAGCAGGAAAAAAAGCTGCACATTTTACACAAATAACAGGTAAAAAAAAAGACTGCAAGAATGCATGCATGTACCAGATATACTGTAAACCAACTTTTATTCGCGTGCGAGAAATTTTCGCGAGTTTCGCGAGAGCCTTGTCATCGCGAATATTTCTCGTCGCGAATCGATTCTTTAGGTCTTTGTTTCTATAAACATCAGATCCAAAACAGCTTGATCGCGAAAATTAATCGTCGCGAACTAGTTTACCCTCGGTAAATCGCGAAATAAAGTCGCCGCGAATAAAAGTTGGTTAACAGTATATATTTTTGAAATCTGAAAATGCATGAATGCAGAAATTGCATGACCACACAAATATGTGTAGAAAAGTCTGCAAACTATCGAGTTATTATTTTTAAAAAGTACAAATCCATAAATGGTTTTGGTTCTTATTGGGTTCTATCTGTTTGCTTTAAGTTTACTGATTATTGTCACAATTAACTGTAACCTTTTAGACTGAAAGAAATCCAAATGGAACATAGTTTGTAAGACAAAAAAAAACGGCTCAAGTTCATTATAAGACGAAAATAGTTCCATTTTTTCCCTCGTAAGAATATATATTTTTGCATATTTATTTATATTCATAAATGTACAAAACAAAATGAATTAGCATATTTTGTATATGAATTAAATGTATGCTATTTTAATGAATATTTAGAGCCATTGTTCGTGAATTATACCAACCGATTGCATTTTTTATTGCATTCTATATCGTCAAACAATTATTATATCAAATGGATTATAAATGTACAAAACAAGATATTTAATCTTGCATATAAATTGATTTAAAAGATTATCTGTTCAAACAAATGTTACTATGTTTGCTTAACAGGCCGACAGGTTGACAGGTCCACAGGTAGACAGGTTGACAGGTCGACGGGTTGACAGGTCGATAGGTAGACAGGTCGACGGGTCGACAGGTCGACAGGTAGACAGGTCGACGGGTTGACAGGTCGACAGGTAGACATGTTTATTTAAATATGTAATTCACAATGTCAACATGTCGTCATAGGTTTGGATTGTCAAATGGAGATGTATACATCTAACTGTTATGAGACATTGCGCATATGAAAAGAGAATGGAAATTACACTTTTAGGCATTCAATGTACATGTACATGTATCTTATGATATGAATGACCCCCCCCCCCCCCACCCGCCCTTAAGATGATACTTGTAGTGATATTAAAAATTTAAAAGATTATCTGTTCAAACAAATGTTACTATGTTTGCTTAACAGGTTGACAGGTCGACGGGTTGACAGGTCGACAGGTAGACAGGTCGACGGGTTGACAGGTCGACAGGTAGACATGTTTATTTAAATATGTAATTCAACATGTCGTCATAGGTTTGGAATGTCAAATGGAGATGTATACATCTGTTATCAGACATTGCGCAAATGAAAAGAGAATGGAAATTACACTTTTAGGCATTCAATGTACATGTACATGTATCTTATGATATGAGTGCCCCCCCCACCCACCCTTAAGATGATACTTGTAGTGATATAACTAAATAAATATACATTGAATTATAAAAAAAAAACTGTCTACCTGTCGACCTGTCGTCCTGTCGACCTGTCAACCTGTCGACCTGTCGACCTGTCAAATTGTAAAAAAAAATAAAGTTTGTGTTGTTATTTTAGATCTATTCTTGGTTTTTATTATACTAAATTATTTCAATCAAAGTGCTTGTAAATATTCATTAAAAAGTAATTTGCATTTATTGTGTTTTACATATATTTATATAAGAATACAATTGATATAATCATACATGAATATTTATGATCTTTCAAAAATATTATAATAACAAAACCGATTTACTGCAGATTATGTGGATGGGACTATTTTCGTCTTATTTTGTACTTGACCCAAAAAAACAAACATAAAAAACATAAAATAAATGGATTTTTGTTTGCAAAATGAGCTGATTAAACAGAGTGCACTCCCTTTTAATTACCTAAATACACCAGATCCACAAAACGAATTTTAAAATCAAATCCTCAACACATTTGCAAAATGTATGAAATTCTTAATCCTTCAATTTTTTGTTGCACTAAAATTCAGGTGATCATGAAGAGAGAAAAGGAAAAAAAATTAATTGCGCCAGGATGCAAAAAAAAATTAACAAGACTTTTCCCTACTTTCTGTCGCTCCTTTTCTATTTCAATTTGATC